ATGATAATACCTACCTTATAGGGTTCTTGTGATATTTAGAAGAGGTAATTTCTTTATCAGAACAGCGCATAGGACCTAGTAAGCGTTCAATAAATATTAGCTGTTAATATTAAATTTAACCAGGATTATGTTAGTCGTGTTCTATATTTCTGATTTCATTCATTGTATTCACTAACTCTTCTATTTGACAGTGGAAGGTAAATTTAAAACCCATCTTTTCCTGGGTGGCTCAGTCGTTAAGCATCTGCTTTTGGCTCAAGTCATGATCCCAGGGTCCTGGGATCCAGCCCCGAGTCGGGCTCCCCTTTTGGCGGGAAGCCTGCTTCTCCCTCTCCCACTCCCCCTGCTTGTGTTCCCTCTCTTGCTATATCTCTCTCTCTGTCAAATAAATAAAGTCTTTAAAAAAAAAACCCATCTTTTCCAAGCACTTACCAAATGATAGTTCATTAACAGTATTTCTCCTTCCCTCGCACAGGATTTTTCCCCAGTTTGATGTAGGAAGTTCTAATGTTTTCTAAAAAGTGTGTGTGTGTGTGTGTGTGTGTGTGTGATGCTTTTTCTTTGCCACTTTGAGCTGATGGCAAGATCACTGATAAATTTAATAATATAAACATAAAGTTTCTCCTCCGTTTCTGTGCAGCCTGCCTCTTTCTGCCAGCCATGTCCAACAAAGTCACAAAAATGTGTCTTTAGCCTGAAAGTGTTAAAAAAAAGTGGTTAAATAACTAATTAGAGTTGGCTTCCTTGAGTTTTTTTCATTGCTCCACATTGCTGTAAGAATAATGAATCATTTTATAATTCTTTTCAAGATAGTTTCCTTCTTTAACCATTTTATTGCTTGCTGGTGATAGTGATTAAGTGGTAGGTGGTTTCTTTACCTGGAAAGATAGATCATGACATAAGTACATTGAGCCTTTTGCTTGTGCATATTTTCAATCTCCAAAGTAGGAGGACTCTCATAGTTGAATAAGAAACTTAAAATCATTTAATATCCTAATATATAAACAAGAGGAGAAGGAATATTGTTAACAATTATCAAGCTTTTAATTAACATAAAGTCCAGATTTTTTAAAATTTTATTTTATTATGTTATGTTAATCACCATACATTACATCATTAGTTTTTGATGTAGTGTTCCATGATTCATTGTTTGCGTATAACACCCAGTGCTCCAATCAGTGTGTGCCCTCCTTAATACCCATCACTGAGCTAACACATCCCCCATCCCCCTCCCCTCTAAAACCCTCAGTTTGTTTATCAGAGTCCATAGTCTCTCATGGTTCATCTCCCCCTCTGATTCGCCCCCCTTCATTTTTCCCTTCCTACTATCATCTCTTTTTTTTTTTTTTTAACATATAATGTATTATTTGTTTCAGGGGTACAGGTCTGTGATTCATCAGTCTTACACAATTCACAGTGCTCTCTATAGGACATACCCTCCCCAATGTCTATCACCTAGCCACCCCATCCCTCCCACTCCCCACCACTCCAGCAACCCTCAGTTTGTTTCCTGAGATTAAGAATTCCTCATATCAGTGAGATCATATGATACATGTCTTTCTCTGATTGACTTATTTCGCTTAGCATAATACCCTCTAGTTCCATCCACGTCATTGCAAATGGCAAGATTTCAGTTTTTTTTTGATGGGTGCATAATATTCCATTATTCCAGTATAGCACATCTTCTTTATCCATTCATCTGTTGATGGACATCTTGGCTCTTTCCACAGTTTGGCTATTGTGGACACATAAAGTTCAGATTTGTGGGATATGCATACATATAGTTATTAAAGAAAAGACTGTAGTTTATACATCATAATTTGTGCTTCCAATGGGCAATCCAGTTAGTCACTAACAATGTCACCTTTTCCAATAACAGTCCTCTGAACAATAATTTTAACTAGCTAATTTCAGTCAGTCTTCAGGTGCTAGAGGAACTTTGAAGACCCAAGCTGTTTCCTCATTACTTTATTTATTTATTTATAAGATTTAATTATTTTATTTGCGAGAGAGAGAGAGAGATCAAGAGAGCACGAGCAGGAAGGAGAGGGAGAAGCAGGCTGCCCCGCAAACAGGGAGCCCAATGTAGAACTCGATCTGAGGACCCTGGGATCATGACCTGAGCTGAAGGCAGACGCTTAACATACTGAGCCACCCAGGTGCCCCTGCTTTTGACTTTTTAAATCATGAAATAAAACACACATAGAGAAAGATTCACAAACCCAAGTACAACCCCTCATTTTACTCCTAGAGCAAACCCCTATGCAGGTTTCACTTTGATAGCATCCCAGAAACCTCTTATGACCCGCACAACCTACCAGATCTCTATAATTGAAAGGAAATTACTAGCTTGACTTTTATGGTAATCATTTCCTACCTTTTTTTTTAAGTTTTATTATGCAAGCATAGATCTGTAAACTCCAGAGTTTAAGGTTTCTTTGAATTTTAATCATATTTGTCACCATGTAACATATAGACAGAATTGTAACTATGTGAACATGTGTGTAGCTACCACTTAGACCAAGAAATAGAGCACTGCTAACATCTCCGAATCCCTGCCCCTTCCAACTCCCTTTCCATCTCCCAGAGAGGTCACCATTATCCTGAATTCTAACACCAAAGATTAGTTTTTTTCTGTTTTTGAACTTTATGTAGGAAGAATCGTACAGTTTGCATTTTTTTGTAGCCTCTGGATTTTTTTTTTCTCAATATTATGTTCATATGATTCATTTTTGCATTTCAGAGTTGATTATTAGTAATCCTGCATACTAGGCCATTGTATGAATATTCTATTAATCATTCTTTTCATAGACATTTCACTGGCTTCTAGATTTTTCTATTATGAATAATGCTATAGGAATTTTAATATGTCTTTTGGTACATATTTCTGAAAGGCATATATGTTAAAACTAAGATTGTCAGATCGTAAGATAGAAATATGATCACCTTTAGAAGTTACTTCTAAACAATTTTCTAAGGTGGTTGTACCAATTTCCACTCCCACAGGTCATAAATGAAAGTTCCAATTGCTTTGCATTCTAAGAAACAGTTAATATTGTCAGTCTTTTCAATATTAGCTCTTTCTGATGGGTTTGGTTTAAACTGACATCTTACTGCTCTTGCTATTAAGAAAATTTTTACGTGTTCTTGGTCATTTGGAAATGTTATATGATAAAGAGCCTGTTCTTTGTAGTTATTCTTACTGGGATTCATAGTGATTCTTTCACCTGTGGTTTGATTTTTTATTGTCAGTTTTGGAAAGTTGTCAACCGATATCTTTTCCATTATGTGACTACCTCATTCTTTGAGGCTCCTCTCCTTTGCTCACTCTTCTGTATTTTTCCATCCTTGTGTCCCTCTCTGTTGCAGTATAGACACTTTCCTATGGCCTATATTCCATTGCATTAATTCTTCCCTTGATTTAGTCTGCTGTTAACTTCATTCATTGCTCTCTTAATTTTACTTACTGGTTTTGTTTATTTCTAAAATTTCCATTTAGTTATATACATATATTTTAAAGATTTTATTTATTGAGAGAGAGAGAGAGCAAGTGGGGGTAGGGGCAGAGGCAGAGGGAGAGAGAGAGAATCTCAAGCAGACTCCATTCTGAGTGCAGAGCCCTACGCAGGGCTCGATTTCATGACCTTGAGATCATGACCTGAGCTAAAATCAAGAATCGGCTGCTTGACAGACTGAGCCACCCAGGGTCCCCTCCATTAGTTATATTTTTATACTTATAGTTCGATGACAAAATTCTCAATCTTAATCATAGTACATACAATTACTTTAAAATCTGTGTCTTAAAACTATAATATGTGGGGGCCCTGTGTGTCTGTTTATGTTATTTATTGTTTCTTTCTATTTGTATTCAACTTGTTGTTCTTTCTCCTTTTCTTTAGTTATTGTCTGGTTATGTCTTAATTCTGTTTAGATCATTTATCTTTTTCATAATTTTTTATAGAAATATTTTCGTGTGTTAATTCTTTTCCATGAAATAGTTGTTTGCTTTGTTGGTACCTTCAGGATATACTGCTCTATTATGTACATTACTAATGAGGAACTTGAGAAACAGACAAGTCAAGTAGCTTCCATAAAGTCCCACAGTAAGAGGCAGAGCCACGGTTTGAGCAGTGGTAGTCAGCCCCTTATCTAAGTTAATATACTTTGTCCTATAATATGCAATACAGACCTACTAGCTACCAAACTGGAGAACTGCCATTTAAAATGGCTCCTTGGGCACTTTTTATTTGTTAGTCTAAGTTAGTGATACATTTTGACTCTGACTGCTAGGAAGCAAATAGACAATATAGTATAGTATTAGATAACTGATAAAGTATAGACAGCAAGAATTGGTTGGATTTTTTTTTTACTCAATTTAAAAATTAGCATGCATTATAACTGAGTGTGGGAAGTATCAGAAATAGAGGTTGTACTGTCTTATTTAAAGAACAGAGAAATATATAGGAGCAATAGTTCTCTGGACTTAACTTTAAAATGTGAATCTCCACTTAGGCCAATGTGCCCTTCTAATTATTAAAATACGAAATTGAGAAAATATGTGTAAATTTGTTTTTGTCTAAACATGTGTGATGAATGTTTGACATCTATCTTCAAAACTATTATAGGCATTATTATCTCCAATTTAAATGGTATAAAATTTGAGTTCAGTGAGTTTGGGTAACTTCTCAACCCGCTAGTAGGTAATGAGCCCAGGACTTAACCCATGTACTATTTCTCCAAAGCACTTACATTTTCTGATCACAGTCCAATCTTCCAGACCTGACAGTTGCAACATTAGATAATGATGTGTGTTTAAAACAAGGTAGTGAAAAGCTCCAGGGTTATCAAAACATCTAATTTGTACTAACAAATGGTAGCTGAATAAGGTAAATTTTGTAATTTCTTATTTGATTTTAAATTGAACTTTATTTAGTCATTGAACATTTTTTCATAACATAACATGTTGAGATTTTTTTAATTTTAAAATTGTTTTCTCATAGGGAAGTGTTTAAAATACAATTCTACTCGTCAACCTCATCATCCAAAAAATTTTCCAGACAGAATGACTTTTCCATATATAATAAGACCATTTATGATGTGATGCTCCACTTGAGTGGAAAAATGCCACCTGGAATTAATTCAAGTCAGTCCTCACCTGAGGATTATACTGAAAGGGTGACTCAACTTCATTTTCAACATTCTTCACTCCTTGACTTTCTCAAGTAAGAGCATGGATGTGCTAATTTAAACATGTAATTATGGCTTAGATAGATATATAAGTTGATGGGTAGATAGGTAGATATATAGATTTTGAATTATTTGTCTTTTTATAATATATTTACTAAGTTTCCACTATACTCATAATCCTGTAATATATAAATAATAGAAAATAAGCACTTCATAGGCTATTAAATTGATAATCTAAGGCACTCATTCTCAAGCTTTATCATCTATCCAAATCATTGTGATAGCTTGTTAAACAGGTTGCTGGCCCTTACCCACAGAGTTTATGATGTTAATTTGTATTTATAAGGAGTTTCAGGTGATACTTATTTGTTCTGGTCCATGACCTCATTTTGAGATTTTTTTACCTAGACAAATATATAAATCTATAGAAGTAAAAAGGAATGAAACCAATAAGTCCATTTCTCAGAATACTGTTAGTGTAATCTCAAGTTATAGTATGAATTTTTAGTCAGCATAGTTAAGTCTTTTAATATAAAAATAATCAGCAGGTGAAAATTTCCATAAATGGTTGACAGAAAATACAGGAGAAATACTTGTCATTATAATGTCTGTGGTTCCTCTGCAGAGATTAAATGGTGAGTGGCCAAGAAATGGAAAAGCAGTGTTTATTAAAAGTCTAAGGAGAGTATTGGTGAATTTATATTACTTATTTTACCTATATTTGCAGTATCCTTATCCACTGGAACATCTATAAGCAGTGTTACTATTCCATTTAACCATGCTTCTATAACACTAAAATAGCATTTGTTACTTGTAATCATTTATGCAATAGGGTTCATATATTTTGAAATATATTACTGTGTTTTTATATCATTGCTTCTTTCTGTATGGAATCTACTCCATAGTTGGTCAGTGATGTTCACCTACCTTAGCAGGGGTGGGGAAGAAAGGTAACAGGAGGAATCTTATAGCTGGAATGCAAATGAAAAATTTGGTGTTCAAGTTTCTTTAATTTCCAGATCAGACTTTTTGAGTCCCTTGTAATACTATGGTCTTAACAATTAGACATGGTGCAGAGAAACAGGAATATGACAACAGAGTAGGAGTACCCTAAACTCACCTTGTTCCATGAACACAACCAGATAACTATCAAATCATCCTAAATACCCCAGAAATTGACCTGAAGACTGATAGAACTACACAACTAAAGGGAGAAAAGAGGTCACGTTGAAGAAGGTAGGAAGTGTGGAGAAGTGGTTTAGGGGAGAAGTAAATCCTGGGTGCTGCAGAGGGGAGGGAGCCAGGGTCATTGAGAAGGGTGAGAGAGAGAGGAGCACGCAGGGGAACACGAAAGGAGAATGTTTCCTCTTAGACATTGGCTTGCAAAACGAGAGGGGCAGAATTTTGTGAGTTCTTGAAACCAGTGGGACTTGAACCCTGGAGTTTTAAAGGTCAGTGGGCTTGCTGTGATACAGCCTGGAAAGCACTGTGCTGCTCTAGGAGAGAAGGCAGGCAAACAACCTGAGGGCATCCGGTATGGAAACAGTGAGCTGAAGAAAAACTGGGGCACACATTGGGGAGATCGTTTGTTCTTAGTGTGTCACTGAGAAGCAGCATTCACAGAGACACCTCTCCAGGAACAAGGAGCTTGCTGGTGCCATTTCCTTCCCCTGCCCCTCACCATAAACACAGAGCCACCAGTGGGGAGCAGCACAGCAATGATACTGGCTATCTAACTTGCTTATACTAAGCCTCCCTCCCTGCACTCCAGTAAGACTACCCTTCTCAGTCATACTTGCATCAGTTCCAGCTGGCAGATCCTTCCCCCAGAAGACCAGCACAAACCCCTGTCCATACCACATCTCCTGGCCAGAGAATTTTGCAGGACTTCAGTTCCTGCAAGAGAGTGGAGGTGGTATCAGGTCTCATTTCACAAGCAGACCAAAGCATACGTAATTAAAACTTGCCACATTCAGGCCAGGAATCAAACACTGCCCACAGCAGGCAAGGAAAGCCTCTGCAGATGCTGGCCTACAGGATAAAGTGGCCAGGACCCAATGGCAGCACACATGCAACACATACCAGAGACACTCCCTGAAGAGCCAGGCCCTGGGCACTATATGACCTTTTCTTCATAAGGCTATTACTTTCAGGAGTAGGAGAAATAACTGGCTTTTCTAATAAAAGAAGCAGGCAAAGACTTAGACAAAATTAGAAGAGAGAGGAATTTATCCCAAATGAAAGAAAAAGATAAGGTCACAGACAGAGATCTAAGTGAAACAGAGGTAAGTAACATGCCTGATGGAGAATGTAAAGCAGTGATCATAGGGATACTCACTGGACTTGAGAGAAGAATAGAGAACATCAGGGAGACCCTTACCACAGAGATAAAAGAATTTAAAAAGAATCGATCAGAGATGAAGAGTGCAATAAATGAGATTAGAAACACACTTGATGCAATGAACACCAGGCTGGAAGAAGCAGAGGAATGAAGTAATGACCTGGAAGACAATGAAATGGGAAACAATGAAGTTGAACAAAAGAGAGAAGGAAAAATTATGCAAAATGAGAATAAACTTAGGGAACTCAGTGACTCTATCAAACATAATAGCATTTGTGTTATAGGAGTCCCAGAAGAAGAAGAGAGAAAAGGGGGCAGAAAATTTATTTGAAGAAATAATAGCTGAAAACATCCCTAATCTGGAGAAGGAAACAGACATCCTAATCCAGGAGGCACAGAGAACCCCCAACAAAATCAACAAAAGCAGGCCAACACCAAGACATATTATAATTAAATTTGCTAAGTATAGTGATAAAGAAAAAATCTTACAAGCAGCAAGACAAAAGAAGTCATTAGCTTACAAGAGAAAACCCATAAGGCTAGATGGGGATTCTTCAACAGAAACTTGGCAAGCCAGAAGAGAGTGGCACGATATATTCAAAGTGCTGAATGGGAAAAATCTGAAGCCAAGAATACTCTATCTAACAAGGCTACAGTTCAGAATAGGAGAGATAAGCATTTCCCCAGACAAACAAAAACTAAAGGAGTTTGTGACCACTAAACTAGCCCTGCAAGAAATATTAAAAGGGACTCTCTAAGTGGAAACAAGAGACCAAAAGTGACAGGCCCAATGCAGGAAACACAAAAGCAGTAAAAATGAATATTTCTGTAAAAAAATCAGTCAAGGAACTCACCAAAAAAAGGATATAAAATATATTAACATATATCTCAAACATGGGGAAAAGAGGAGAAAAGAATGGGTTCAAACTTAAATGACCATCAACTTAAGATAGACTGCTATATTCAGAAGAGGTTATATACAAACCTAATGGTAACCATATAGGACAAACCACTACTAAAAATGCAAAGAATAAAGAGAAAGAAATCCAAATATATCACTAAAGAAAATAAGGAAAACATAAAAAAGAGGAAGACAAGAGGTCAGAGAAAATCTCCAGAAACAGCCACAAAAAAGTAATAAAATGGTAATATATAGGTATCAATAATTATTTTGAATGTAAATGGACTAAAGGCTCCAGTCAAAAGACATAGGGTGTCAGAATGGATGGAAAAAAAAAAAAAGGAAAACAGGACCCATCTCTATGCTGTTTACAAGAGACTCATTTTAGACCTAAAGACACCTGTAGATTGAAAGTGAAGGGATGGAGAAATATTTACATGCACATGGATGTCAAAAGAAAGCCAGATTAGCAATACCTACATTAGACAAACTGGACTTTAAAACAAAGACTGTAAGAAGAAACAAAGAAGGGTTCTACATAATAAGAAAGGGGACAATCCAACAAGAAGATACAACAATTGCAAATATTTATGCACCCAACATGGGAGCACACAAATTCATAAAATAGTTAATAACAAATATCAAGGAACTAATCAATAATAATACAATAATAGTCGGGGACTTTAAAACCCCACTTACATCAATGGACAGATCATCTAAACAGAAAATCAATAAGAAAACAATGGCTTTGAATGACACACTGGACCAGATGGACTTTACACATATATTCAGAACATTCTTGAAATGTTCTGAAAAGAATACACATTCTTTTCAAGTGTACATGGAACATTCTCCAGAATACATCACATATTAGGCCACAAAACAAACCTCAACAAATACAATAAGATTGAAGTCATACTATGCACCTTTTTTGACCACAACACTATGAAACTAGAAGGCAACCACAAGAAAAAATCTGGAAAGACAACAAATATATGGAAGTTAAATAACATGCTACTAAACAATGAATGGGTCAATGAGGAAATCAGAGAAGAGATTAAAAAATACATGGAAACATATGAAAATTGCAACACAATGGTCTAAAACCTTTGGGATGCAACAAATTGGTCCTAAGAGGGAAATATATAGCAATACAGGCCTACCTCAAGAAGCAAGAAAAATCTCAAATAAACAACCTAACTTTATACCTAAAGGAACTAGAAAATAAAACAACAAATGAAGCCTAAAACCAGAAGAAGGAAGGAAATAATAATTAGAGCAGAAATAGATGATATAGAAACTAAAAGAACAGTAGAACACATGAATGAAACTAGGAGTTGGTTCTTTGAAAAAAATTAATAAAATTGATAAACCTGTAGCCAGACTTATTGAAAAGAAAAAGAAAGGACCAAATAAATAAAATCACAAATGAGAGAGAAGAAATAACAACCAACACCACAGAAATACAAATAATCATAAGACAATATTATGAAAAACTATATGTCAACAAACTGCACAACCTAGAAGAGAGAGTTAAATTCCTAGAAACCTGTAAATCACAAAAACTGAATCAGGAAGAAATAGAAAATTTGAACAGACTTATAACAAGCAAAGAAATTGAATCAGTAATCAAAAACCTCCCAAAAAACGAAAGTCCAGAACCAGAGGGCTTCACAAGTGAATTCTACCAAACATTTAAAGAAGAGTTAATACCTATTCTTCACAAACTATACCAAAAAATAGAAATGGAGGAAAAACTTCCACATTCATTCCTTGAGACCAGCGTTACCCTG